ATGTGACCCAGACACGCGCTCCCCACCGGGCGCAGGGCGGGGCGGGGCGGAGAGGGGACGCACCGCCCAGGGGGCCGGACTCAGAGTAGCCGTAGCCGCTCTAGAGGGGGGCGGCGCGGGATCTGAAGGAGCGGTCCGACCAGAGCTCAGAGAATTGCTTTATTGCGCGCCTTGGGGAGTGCACAAGTCTGGGCTTCAGCGAGGAGCGAACGTCTGCGGGCCTAGAGAGTCCCTCAGGGGCCAGTGCCAGGGGGCATGAGCCCGGAGCCGGAGGAAGCCCTAGGGGCCGGCGGCTGCAGCCTCCGATGCCTCTCCTGCTGGAGCATCGCTCGGTTGGCCCTGTAGAACAAAACACCAGAGCGGTTGGGACCGGGACCAGGAGGGTGGTGCCAGAACTGACAGGGACAGAACAGAATGGGGACAGACCTGGCCCGGGCCCGTGTGTCGTTGTAGATGGCGGTGATTATCCGGTCCTTTTCATCCATGAAGCTTCGGTGCATCTGCTCTAACTTCCTGCAAAGGGGTCGCCATTAACCGAGGACTTCAGTTTCTGTGTTCCCTGTTGTCCCTCAAGTGCTGCCCTCCTCCACCCTGCTCCAGGATCTCTCACAGCTTTCCATCTGCGGGACTCCAAGTGTGTCTGTGATAGCAGAGGAGAGGAGCACCAAGTGGCCTGGACCACCCAGGGTGTAGTTGCACCCCAAGTCCCTGGCTGTCCTGCTGAAAGCACTGAGGCAGCTCTGATCATGGGGTCCCCACGAACTTCTGTCTCTATCACTGTGGCTTCTGACTATGTTTGCTGGATTTCCTACTCTGTATCATGGTGTACATGAGAGGGTGGCAGGGCACACCAACAGCCACATGAGGACTGCCACTGGGGAGGCTCAGTTACAATGCATTTGCTTCTTTGCATGTTAATTGGCTCCAGCCCTCTTGGTGGCCAGCACCAAAGATTTACATTCAAATTATGAAAAACTGAAAATGATATTAGCCCTCCTTGCAGTACTGCCTTTACTAAGTAAGGAGAGGCTCCGAATAGAAGGTCATGCATTCCTATCTTGAGAGCATGCAGTGGCTGGCCGACCACACTGGGCTTCCCCCAAACCCCCTGCCTCTGCCACCACCCTGGGGAGGACAGGGATTCACCTGAAGGCAATGTAGTGCAGGCCCATGCCTGCAAGCATGAGCAAGAGGCAGTACCCCAGCACCTGCTGGTTGTGTTTCTGCTGCCGCTGCCGTGACTCAGGCCCCTGTGGCCTCACACCATGAAACTGGGCCCAGTACTGTTCGTTGGGGGGTGCCCAGGAACTGCTGGGAGACAGAGGGGACCGTGTGGAGATGAGGCTCTCCAGGAGACTTGGGGGTGGCAGCAAGTGAGGGCAGGACTGCTGTACCTGTGTGTTTGTCTGGCAGACTTGGGGTAGGCTGTGGTCCCTGGCGATTTTGGGGGGCTGGCTGAACAGAGCTGGTTGTCATAGCTGCGGCGGCTCTGCTCACGGCTGAGAACATGATAAGCCTCATTCAACTCTACAAAGCGGCTATGCAGGGCCGGGTTCCCAGGGTCTCTGTCAGGATGCAGCTGGAATGGGGCAGGATTCCCCTTATCTCTCTTTCCATGTCCCTTCCCAAGCCATCCTGATAAAATCTACCCATAAGGGCTCTATCACTCTCAAAGGCCTTGTCTGGGCAATGCTCCCTCACCCATAGTCTAGTTGACCCCTCAAGACAGCCAGAGCATCAAGAAGCTCAGACAAGTGCCCTCTCCCCTCATTTAAGCCCTCACCCCACTACCAGCCCCCTGTTTCTCTCCATATGTCTTGGTCCAGGTTTCTCAAGAATAGTAAGTCCAGTCAAGGAAAGCAAGCCCAGCCATGTGGCAGGATTCCTGGCTCCCTGCACCCAGCCATTCCTCCTGTTTAGGCGGAGCCATGAGCATCTTCCATCCCCATGCAGGAATGTGGCACCTGTCAGAAACACAGATCTACTCCTGGGAACTTAGAGTGCACCCCTACCTGGCTCAGATGTCCTATTCCCCCCACTCCACCTTGGGGGTACTCATACCTCTTTGCACTTGATGAAAAAAGCTCGCTTAACTTCTTCCGCACTGGCATTGGGATGCACACCCAACAGTTCATAATAATTACTGGGGCCAGACCTGTGGAGAGAGGCCCAAACTTGCAGGGATTGAGGGCACCCAGAGGGTACCCCAGCCCTGATCCCTCCCAGGTGGGGATGCATTCCCAGTCCTTGTTTTTTGTTTGTTTTTGTTTTTTTGCTGGGTAGTCTGTCAGGCCTGCCCTAAACCAACAGGAAAAAGCAAACAGACTGGTTTCAGCAAAAAGCAGCTTCCTAGTAAATAGGGTAAATGGACTCAAAATGTGGTTTACGACCCCCTGGTAATGAAAAGTCCAGTAAATGTATACCCACCTGAGAAGACCGTCCTTGGGCATCCAAATCATAAAAATTCCTTATGAGTATAGTCCCTTCCCCCAAATTTATATAAGTATAGTTCTCCTTCCCTGCTGGCTACTATCACTTCTCTCCCAATATTAGCCATCCACTCACAGATGAAATCTCTCCCTGCTAGCTGCTAGAATCTCCTGATTTTAGTCCCTATTATTCACTAGAATAAACTCCTTTTCTCATAACAAATAGCCTTTTTTGTTGTTTTTTGAGACAGGGTGTCACTATGTATTTGAGACTGATCTGGAACTCACTATGTAGCCCAGGTTGATCTTGAACTCACAGCAATCCTCCTGACTCAGCCTCCCGAGTGCTGGGATTACAGGTGTGAGTCACCACACCCAGCAACAAATAGGCTATTTTTTGGACAGGTGGATTCTTTTTTTTTTTTTTTTTTTTTTTTTTTTTTGATATGGGGGTCAAACTCCAGACCTTGCACTTTTGAAGCAGGCAGCAGAACCACTGAGCTAAATCCCAGGGCCAACAAGTGGATTCTTTATAACATAGTCATCCATGCTGGCCTTGAACTCGTGACAATCCCCTTGCCTCAGCCTCCTGAGTTTTTGGATTACAGGTGTGTGCCAACATGCCCAGATGAAAGTTTTTTTTTTTTTTTTTTGGTACCAGGGATTGAACTTGAAAGTTTGTTTAAAAGAGATTACCAACCCCTACAATGAGAAGCTGAAGCAGAATTGCTTCAGCCCAGAAGTTCAAGACCAGCCTGGGGAACACAGCAAGACCCCAAGTCAAAACAAACAGCTGGGTTCAATGTCACATTCCTGTAATCCCAGCTACCTGGGAGGCGGAGAGAAGAGAATCGCAAATTTGAGGCCAGCCTGGGCAATTTAGTGAGATCCTGTCCCTCAGAATAAAAAGGGCTGGAGATGTGCAGCTGAATGGTAGAGAGATTACCTACTACACATGAGGCTCTGGGTTCACTCTGGGCCCAGGAATCTGCATCTTTAAACTTAGTCTCCTCCTTTCAGTGGGTTACACACAGTTATTTTGACAACCACAAGAGTTATGAAAAGCATTGAATTTGCCCTGGGCTTATTTTTGTTTTTTGTTTTGTTTTAAGGGGTTTTTTTTTTGGTACCTGGGATGGGGCTCAGGACTTCATGCTTGCTAGCCAGGTGCTGTACTGCTGAGCTACATCCCTGGCCCTGGACTCAAATTTTTTCTTTCTTTTTTTTTTCTTTCTCATACCAGGGATGGAACTTAGAACCTTACACTTACTTGCCAGCCCCTCGGCTCAAAAAAAACTTTTTTTTTTTTTTTTTTTGTACTAGGGATAGAACTCCAGACCTTGCACTTAAGAGGCAGGCAGTGGAACCACTGAGCTACACCCCCAGCCCAGCTCAAATTTTTGATGTGCCACTTAACTTGCTGTATGACATTGCCGCCCTGAAATCGAACTAAGGGTATTAAGCCGTATCTCCAGCTCCAGCTTTTTTTTTTTTTAAAAAAAACAGTCTAGCTAAATCGCTAAATTGCCCAGGCTGCGTTCTAATTTGTAATTCTCCTGTCTCTGCCTCCCAGAATGAGAGGACTACAGGCAGGCCTGCACAACCACATCCGGATGGGGGCGGGGTGTCATCTCTTAATCTCCGTCTTCAGGGTCCTCAGCAGCGCAGGTGAGGATTATGAGACAGGCCTGTAAGGCACCTGACACTAGAGAAGTCCATAGCGATCTCAGCTTGTAGGGCAAGGCCCAAAGGGTAGGATCTCAACAAAAACCCACTCAACAACCTGCCTTGGCGTTCAACTCACCGCTGCCCTGCGGCCGCCGAGAGAAACCGGGCGGGAGGGTTGTAGGGCCACAGACGGCACAGGCGCAGGGGCAGCAAGGCCAGTAAGGTCGGCATGGCGGTGGACAGGCAGCTGGGGAAAAGAGGCAGGGAGGCCACCAAGATGGGGATGCATTGGGACCGGATCCCGCCAGACTTAGAGCGCTCCCGGTCCGGGTCGGCGGAAGGGGCTTGGCCCGAATTTCTCCCCAAGGAAGACTGCGGGAGTCACGAGAAGGGGGGGCGCTCCGGGCTCTACCTCTGCGTCCGGGCCACCTGCAGGGACACTACGACCCCCTTCCCACCCTGGACGATGGGGGCGGGGGAGGAGCCACGGGCAAGCCCCGCCCCATCGACTCACAGACTCCGAGGTCTCCGCCATTTTCTGCGCCAATGCTGGCCCCGCCCCTGGTTCTCATTGGCTCAGATGTCGGGACCCCTCCTCTGCACTCCAGCTGTCCGTGGACACCCCATCTACCTGCAGGCTGGGCTGTGCGTGGCTGTCCTTACCTTAATGAGGCTTTGCACCCAGCCGCTGCCCAACCCCCAGTGTGCGACATTTCAGGGCTGCTTCCACCCTACAGATGTCCAGGACCCTTACCAGTGCCTGGCGTGGAAGTCACGGCACTCATTCTCAGCTTGCTGAGGGGAAAACAGGCTGGGCTCGTGCTTTTTGTTTTTTCCCCTTTCCTGCTACGTGTCAGTCTTTCACCCACCAGGCCTCTGAAGCGACCCCTCTTTCTCATGGAAACAGCAGATGCCAGTGCAATCCAACAATAAAGTCCTTTATTGTCCTCAGAGGTGTGGATAGGGCTGGGACCCTCCGGCAACTCAGATGGCACTTCCCTGGACCCGGTTATAGAGGAAGATGGCGCCTTTGGCTGAGGGGCAGAGTTCGGCCCACATCTCAGTCTCCTGCAATCTCTGCATCCTCTGTAGGAAGATAGTGAGACCCAGATATCCTTCCAGCCCTGGTCTCCTGCTGGGGCTGCGCCCAGAACTACAGAGCCTCAGAGTCCTTGGCACTGTATGGGGACTAGGAAGACATTATCAGGCCTTCACAGACTCCTCCCTTTCCCTCGGGCAGAGGACAAGCCTGTGACTCGAGAGAAAACTCCAAGAGGCCTGGAGTCCTTGTCTGACCCAGTTACCCTCTCCTGACCAGGCCTCTTTGCAGACCCCTTGCTTGTAGGCCAAGCAAGATGCATCTCCTGCTTTGCACCTGTGCCTCCACAAAGATGATGCCTGTAGACTCGTGGGCCTCAGGTCCTCCACCTAGGTAGTAGTTCCTCACCTCCTCAGAAGTCAGGTTGCACCTGGACAAGGACATGAGGGTGGCGGCTTGGGGGTGTCCACCCTGCAGAAACCCTAGCCGCCCTCAGCCCTCACCACCCATCTCTGCCAGGACCCAGGTCACTGTGCCCCAGAGTTTACTCACTGGATGTAGAACTCGGCACTGGCGCGGCCAGCACTGGTCTCATTGCAGGCAATGCCCAAAAGCAACGGTGGGCTCAGGGTGAGCAGCGGCAGGTTCACCTGATTGATGTACAGGATCCCACCTGTCAGTGCCCACTGATACATCCCTGCCCTCTCAACAAAGAACAGTCTGTTGCCCCTGTTAGTACTTTGTGGTTTGTAGATCAAGTGCATTGTATCACAATGTAAGATCTCGGGCATGTTCATTTTACAGATGGGAAAACCAAAAGTACGGGGATTGAACAAATTGTCTAGGGAAATCAATTTAGTAACTGAGACTCCCATTTCTCCTCTTTCAACAAACTTGGGGAGTGGGCAAACTTGGGAAGTGTGACATTGTGAGACATTTACCACTACTGACACTATAAAGAGGAAATGCCTAAGGGCTAGAATTCTGCTTTTTTTTTTCTTTTTTTTTTTGAGACAAGGTCTTGCTCTGTAGTTCAGACTGGATTTGAACTCACTATGTAGTCCAGGCTGGCCCTGACATTGAGGCAATCCTCAGTCTCCTGAGTGCTGAAGTTACAGGAGGGCACCACCACACCCAGTTTAGAATTCTACTTTTGAGTACATCCACCTGCAAAGCCAAGCTCTTCTCACAGTGCCATCAAGGTCGCTGCAGACCTCCCATCAGCCCAGACCTGTGGAAACCTAGCAAGTCCTACCTCTCCCCTTCATGTGCACCATGCTGTCAGAACCACCTCTCACCTCATCACAGATCTCCTGCAGGACACTGGAGAAAAGCTCTCGTACCACCAGCTCCCCAGGGAGGTCCTTGTGTTGGGGGCTGTCACCAGGGCACAGGGCCTATGAGAGGTCAGCCTCAGGGTCTGCTCTTTACCCTTTCCCACCCTGACTTTCCCCTTGTTGGCCCTGGTGGCCTGAGGTAGACAGTATGAGCCTTAATGGTCCCCTAACTCAGGGCCCCCATGTCCAGGTGGAGAACCAAAGGTCCAGCTCAGAAGGGGCCAGAAAGGGGAAGGTAAGGCATCTTCTTCTTCTTCTGCCTACTCCCCTTCCCACTTGCTCCCCACTGGTATTTTGCAGGTTAGGCCTGTGGCAGGGTCTTCCAGGTGGCAGTGAGTGCCTTGTCCCCTTCTAGCACAACTATGTAGGCTGGCCTACGCTTGTTCCCAGGTCAGCCATCCAGGAGGCACCATAGCAAGGAAGTCTGCACAGCTGCTCTGAGCAGATGCAGAGAAACCCCAAGCCAATTTTCCCAGAGCTGGGAGGGCTTAGAGGTCCAGCTCCCCTGAGCTGTTTGGGGTTTTGTGCCTTTGTACCCAGTCTGGCATCTCACCTGAGGCTCAGGGTGCCCACCAGGAACGTCCACCAGTCCAGGGGCCTCGGCCACCTGCCAAGAGCGGCGCAAGAAGACAAGAAAGTTGTCAGCTGTGACTAGTATAGCCCCCACCCCCAGTGGGTCGGCTAGATAGGCTTGCTTGTCATTCCAATCAGTAGTTCCCTGTTGTTGCAGCCAGGAGGCTGAGCTGGCCCAGTTGGTGCCCAGGAAGTCTCTGTAGGAAGTCAGGCCCAGGCGCAGAAGCAGCTGTGGTCCTGGAGATTCAGCAGGTGCCAATGTGGCTGAATGCAGGCGGAACTTAGGGGCATTGAAGAGCCAGGGCTGGGTCTGTAGCCGGCTCTCCCAAATGGCAGTGATGGTCTTATCTCCTCCCGGTAGTGGGCGACGATCATAGGCTGGGCTCAGCTCCACTCCTACCTGCTCCTGGGGCAGTCCCCCGGGAGGGCACTGCAGCAGCAGGGACACCTCAGAGTCCATGGTCTGGACAAGGAAGCTCTAGAGAAGGACACAGCCGGGTCCGTCACGGTGTAGGGAACACAGCCACCCTTTGGCCCAGTTCTGCCAGATTCTGCCGCAGACCTCCTGAGGGCACGTACCCCCAGCCCTTCCAACCTTCCTGACCACTTCTGGGGAGTTAGTACCCTACTATCCCAACAACAGCCTCAAGTGTCAGCTGGGTGAGGGGAACTCTTGCTGCCAGAAATTCTTGGGACTTCTGGACATCCCTACCGCCCAGAAATCCTGGGCCCCCCAAATACTCAACCTCCAAACCCACAGATTCGGCTTCCAACCATGGACGTGTAGAGAACCCCCTTCCCAGAATGCAGAGGCTCCAGCGTCAACAGGAACTGGAACTCACCCGTAAACTGGGCCCGCAGGCTCCGCCCTTTCTCCCAAGCGGAAGTGCCCACCCCCTTCTTCAATGCTTTTTTATTGGCAGAGCCACACGCTCCGGCCAAAACGTTCCGCCACTCCTGAAACGGAAGTGCCCGTCCCTTTCTTCCGCGCCTTCTCATTGGCGGGTCTGCCGCCAGCCACAGGCTGCGGAGAAGCCAACTCTAGGACCCAGTGCGCTGCCCTTTCCCCAGGCTCACCCTGCGCGCTGTGGCCCCTCTAAAGAGCGGGGCTCGGCTGTCTTATCCCTGCAAGTCTCGCCAGCAAGGGTCTTATTTGCCCTCTCTGCACCCAGGTTTGGGGATGGATGGCGAATGTCATGAGCTATACCTCCACTTCCCAGCTCTCTTGTCCTGATCCTTTGTGACTTTCCGGGCAGGGTGGGGACACGCAAAGATCTTTAAATAAATCCACAAGTCCCTGCCCTCTACAGATTTGGAGTATGAGTTCCTTTGGAGGAAAGAGCGGGGAGGCAGCAGGGCCCAAAGGTAGAAGGGCTTCCAGACTCCGGCAGCAGGTGTGCCTTTCCTCACCCTCACCAGTCTGGAGGAGGACAAGGGGGGGAACTCGGAGCTCTGGCTTCCCGGTGGAGTGGGGGGATTCACGAGTTATTCTGGTCCCAGAGACCACGGGGATTCCTCTGCAGGGCAGGGTTAATTACAGAGACCCAAGCCACCGCTGGGCTCTTTGCAGGACCGAGATGTGCAGCTGTCTAAGGCTCTGTCCTACACCCTCCGTCACGGAGCCTTGAAGCTGGGGCTTCCCATGGGAGCTGGTAAGTGAGCATCTCGGTGGCCTGGGAAGGAGTGGCTGGCACCCAGTAAACAGTGTGAACCTGTCTGTGCCCCCTGCACTGTGGATCCCACCGGTACACCATGAAGAAGGCACAGCAGGTACATCTGCTCCATGTAGAGTGAAGACGGCCCATGTCATGTCTACTGGGAGAGGAACTTGTCTGGGCCAGGCCTGATGTCCAGCCAAGTGGCTCTTCTGGTGATTTCCTGCCAGTCCCATGGCCTAGTAAACACCACAGGGTGGGCACTAAGGGAGTCTCGCAGCAGGTGATGTTTACTGGGCCAATGTAAGTACTTTTATCTGTGTGAACCTCCCTGAGGGAGCTTCTCTTCCTGTGTAAGTTAAATAGGCCCAGAAAGGAGAGAGTTCGTAGGGGTCACACAGGTGAAGCCCATGTGACCTCCAGGCCTGCCTTTGTCTTGGCCACAGCTCCCTGTGAACTATGGCATGGCCACAGCAAGGTCATCTCCTAAGCACCTGTCTGCCCGCAGATGGCTTCGTGCCCCTGCACAGCCTCCTACGGCTGCCCCAGTTTCACAGCTTCTCTGCTGAAGATGTACAGCGTGTGGTGGACACCAATGAGAAGCAGCGGTTCACCCTGAAGCCAGGAGATCCCAGCGCTGGCCCCCTCATCCGGGCTAATCAAGGCCACTCCCTGCAGGTGGGTGCCAAGTGGACAGTTGGGAGAGCCAGATGGGACCCCTGTTTACAGGGAAGATCTCACCGCTACCCATTCTACCACCCACTTCAGGTGCCTGATTTGGAGCTGGTGCCTCTCGAGACGCCACAGGCCCTGCCCCGGATGCTAGTCCACGGTACATTCTGGAAGCACTGGCCATTCATCTTGCTCAAGGGCCTGTCATGCCAGGGGAGGACACACATTCACTTGGCTCCAGGACTGCCTGGGGACCCTGGTGTCATCAGTGGTCAGTGCCCCCTCTACCCACCTGTCCCCCCCACTCTGTCCACTCAGGATCCCTCCAAGGGTCACAGCCTCCCTTGTCTGAGGCTGCCCCCAGCCTTGCACGGCACCATAAGCCTCCATACTCTTCACCTGGGAACCACCTCTGTCTCGGTTTGCTAATTGCCCTCCGGGTGTCCTAGGCCCCAGCTCCAGTTGTCCCTATAGGTATGCGCCCGAATTGTGAAGTCGCTGTGTTCATCAATGGACCCCTGGCCCTGGCAGGTGCGTGTCACACAGCAGGGACTACTGGGCCTTTGGGGAGGGGCACGAGTCACATTGCTAGCTCTGTCCACAGATGGAATCCCCTTCTTCCGCTCTGCCAATGGGGTGATCCTGACTCCAGGGGATGCTGATGGGTTCCTGCTTCCCAAGTACTTCAAGGAGGCCCTGCAGCTGTCCCCTGCCCGTGAGAACTGCAGCCCCACGTGCCTGTGCCCTTTTGCCCTTCCCTCTTTTCCAGCCTCAAACCCAGGCTGACTAGATCTCCCTTTCTCTGAGCAACTTTCATCTTTATCTCAGGAAAACCTCTCTCCTTGGCTGGTGATAAAGAGACAGAGTGTCCAAGTGGCCCCAAGCATAGTCCCAGAGGAAGAACGATCAAGCAATAAAATACTTATTTAAAAAAAATTTAAATGGGGCCGGGGATTTACATGCGCAAGGCCCTGAGTTCAATCCTCAGTACAAAAAAAACAACACTAGGATTTCTCATCCTCTGCCTCTTCCTCTTCCTTGTATGCTCAGGGAGCTGTGCCACGCATAGGTCAGGGGTGTTGGCCTTGGCCGTACGAACAGGGAAAGGGGGCTGTGTACGAGCTCAGGCCCACCTCTCCCCTCCAGCCTGCATGATGCCAGAATCTGCCCCAGCCAGAGCTGGTCTGCCAGTGACAGGTGAAAGTGCCCAGCTCGAAGCTTGCCTGGAGTGGGGGTGGGGTAGTGCAGCCAGTGGGCACGGCAGTGGCTGTGGCTGATGGTGAGCAGGGCATGGGTAGACACACTGTCCTTAGAAGGCTTCGTGGCCACCTGTGAGCTGCAAAAAGAGGTCCTCATCCAGTTCCTCCCCACGGGCCCGCTCCCGCGTTGACAGGAAAATGTAGCCCCCGATGTACTCATGCACGATTCGACAGCTGGCAGACACACAGCTGAAGGCCACGTTGATGTGCTCATCAAACTCGATGGCTACCTGCGGGGCGAGCAGTCAGAGGTGCCAGTGGGCAGGAAGGGTAAGGGAGAAACCTCCACCAACTGCCCTATCCCACCTTGCCCTCGCTCTGGGCCCACCTGCCGGATGTCCCAGTTGACATTCCACTGCCTCATGTTGCTGAAGCGCCAGGTCTTGACCACGTCACCCACAGCCAAGTCGACTCGGATCAGTCGGTTGTTGGCGATACCCAGGATTTCATCTTTTTTGCTGCCCTTGAACCTGATTGTGGGGGTGGGGGGTGAGCAGGGGCTCCCCCTTGCATGGCCCCAGAGACCACCCAGACAGCATGGCACAATGTCCAGAGCCAATATGATGGGGGAGGACATAGCTGTGCCCACATCCCAGCTCTGCTGCTTGCCCACTTGCAACCCCGAGCAAGATGTTTAGGTTCTCTAGGGCTTGAGTTCCTCAGCTGGAAAGTGGTGGATTTGGTGGATTCATTTCACACCACTGGGAAATAGTTTGTGCTAATAATAGTGTGTATATCATCATCGTCGTCCATCACCATGTCTGCAGGGCTGGGAAATGGGCCGCTTCTGCAATGGCGTCTAAGGTCACCTGGGTCCTGCAGAACCATGATGGAGGCCCAGAGAGGGAAGGGTTCGTGGCAAAGCCAGGACAGACACTGTGTCTCCTTTGCGACCTGGCTCCGCCTCTTGTATTTGCTGCAGGGGTGCAGAGTGGCGGGGTGTGTGCAGAAAGCCCCTGGTTAAGAGCTGCCCTCAGAACCGGGGAGGGGAGACCTCGGGAGTAGCTGGGCAACATGAAAGAGCGGGTAGCAGGTGAGGGCAGTGTGTGGCTGAACTACGGCTTGTACCTGACCATGAAGTAGGAGATGCCAAAATCGGGCAACGACTGCCAGGCCTGGATGAAACGCAGCTGGGCCTCGGTCAGTGAGAGCTGGGCCACATTCTGGTGGGCCTCCAGGATCCTCGGGGTGAGCTGTGGGCCATACTGGTAAAAGGCTGGAGGGGGTTCCCCTCCCCTAAAGTCCCTCTGACTCTCGCCTGCCCTGTAAGACAGGGTGCAGTGCCTAACAGCTGCCAAAGTGCAACCTCTCTGACAAATGTGGACTGAGCCAGGCCCTGAGTGCACAGGGGCCCTTGGACTGTGATCTTTCAGAGGCTTGGGAGAGGGAGCAAGTATCCATGCAGCTCTCTCCCGAGAGGCTGTGTGGGACCTGGGGCTCAAAGGCAGCCAGGAAAATGGTATGGTCATTCCCACCCTCTATCTTCTCTGTTACCTGCTTGGCCTTGAACTTTCGCTGGAAGCGGGGGGCGACAAGGCCGTAAGGATTGAGGCCCTCAGTGGAGGCATCAGGACCCTGAGTATGGTTGCCTGAGCCCCCACCTCCTGCCCGCTGCAGGCTGAGGAAGGCAAGGATGGCCTGCACCTCGCTGGTGTAGCTGCTATCCGCCATGGTGCGGCCCTTGGAGGCCAGTCGGCAGCCGGCCATCCAGTGTGCATACTGCTGCTCCTGGTGGGGACAAGGACAGTGGTGAGCCGGCCAGGCTCTGCCCCCGCCCCACCTCTGCCCTGAGTGCCCACTTCAGCCCTAGCCCAGCCTTGCAGCATCCCTGCAAGCTTTACACACATCCTGGCACCGCAGGTAGATCTCACTCATGCCCTCGGGTGAGGGCACTAGGAGTTTGATGCAGAACTTCTGGCTGGAGACATTGACGTCTGGGACCACCTCGCACCCTGCAGGAAGAAGGGGTGTCGGGAAGATTGAAGGGGGAGACCTGCCTGAGAGGCCCCACGCAAAAGCCAGTCCTGCAGTCTCCTCCCGACGGAGATCATCTTCCCTGGTTCCCCGGAGGAAACAGTCGGATGAGGGGCCCTGCCAGTCCCCACCCTTGCTCCCTCACCTTTGAGGTTGAGCTGCTGAATAGGGTCCCCTGGGGCCTCATCCTGGCTCTTGTAGTAGGACAGTGTGGTCTCCTTGAATACCACCCAGTGCTGGCGGTAGCCCTTCAGGGTCAGCTTTCGGGGCCTGAGAACGAGCAGGGTATGAATGGCCGCCCCTACACACAGGCTCCTCCTCTGGGTGGCCAGACTCACCGAAAGATTCGGAGATGGTCCTTGAGCTCTGGGATGGTGGTGAGGCTGTCCTAAGGGAGGAGAGGAGTCAGAGCGTCCCAAGCCTCCCTTGGCCTAGACGCCCACCGCAGCCTGAGGCCTCACCAGCACATCTGTGGGTGCCGAGCCCTCCAGCTTCACTTCCAGGTTGTTCAGGGCCGCGTCCAGGTCATCCAGCCCCGGGTCCGTGCCAGCCACTTCGCCAGCTTCCCCGCTCTGTGACAACTTGTTGATGTGGTACTGGGGATGCAATGGCCAAGGACTCTGAGTCCAGCCGCCACCAAGTGGTGGCCCCAGGTGGGGTGTCCCTGGAGATGGGCACCGCTCCAGAAGTCCCTTCCTGCCACAGCCGACACCCTGGCCACCCCCGGTGCCCAGACACCTGCAGGGCTGCAAACACCATCATCTCCTCCTCAGTGCAGTCGATTTCTTCCAGCAGCAGGTCCCAGCGCGCCTGCTCGTACAGCTGTGTCAGCCGCACTGGGTCGACCTGCAGTGGGTGGGGAGCCAGCTGCTCAAAGGCCAAGGGGCCCGCGCACCCAGGCAGCCACCCCATGCCCTCTGCCCAGGGTACTGATGCTTGGTGGCTGTCCGAGCTGGAAGTCCAGCGGGCTCAGAGTCTAGAAGACAAATCAATAGCTCCCCCCGCCAGCTCCCTCATCCCTCAGTCAAGGGCAATGCCGCTGTGAGGAGGTGACTGAACAGAGACCTAGAAGGTGACAATGACAAGAGTGAAGGAAGAGGATTCCAGCGAGAAGGGTCAGGGAGGGCAAAAGCACAAAGGAGTCCCAGTACCCACAGAAGCCACCCTTGGAGGCCCACTGAAACCGAGAGCCAAGGCGCAAGAAATCAAAGGATAACAACTCGGAAGGGTGAGGGAAAGGTAATAGGGGAAAGAAAAAAATATGAGAAAATGAAAAAATGGAAATAAAGTGTTTGTAGATGGGGAGGGGAGGAGGGGTGAAGGGAGGGCCGGGACGAGGGGAAAAAATGAGAACCAAGACCTGTCATGTAGAGGTTCAAGACCCCAAAGATGAGTGTAACTGTACTGTATCTCTAAAATGTACCAATAAAGTCAATGAGGAAAAAAAATCCAAGGATAACAAGTGCTGGCGAGGGTGGTGGTGGGGAACCCTCCTACACTGCTTATGGGAGTGTAAACTGGTACAGCCACTGTGGAAATCAGTGTGGAGAAACTCCATTTGACCCCCAGCTCTTCCCTTTCTAGCTATTTTCCCGAGTTGAAGATGTCATGTCACAGTGATACAAGCATAGTCACGTTTCTAGCTGCACAACTCATAATAGCTGAATCTTGGAAACGGCCTATGTGTCCATCGATAGATGAACAGAAAAGGAGAATGTGGCACTCCCACCGGCTGGAATACTACTCTGCCGTAAAGAAGAACAGGCTTGAGTCATTTGTAGGAAAATAGATGTACCTCGAGACCACAATGTTAAGTGAAATAAATCAGCTTAAATACCACATGGTTTCGCTTATATGAGAAACACAAAGTATGAATAATTCATAGAGCAAAATAAAAGATAGATAATAGGAAACAGGGAGGTAGATGATTTTCAAACGGGAAGGGGACCAAGAAATGGATGGAAGGGAGAGCAAGGGGAGGGTAAAGAGAAGCAAAAGGAATTGATGCGTGATGTACATGTATCAACTCCCCACTACGAATGTAATCATATGTATGTACTACAAACATAAATTGATGCGTGATGTACATGTATCAACTCCCCACTACGAATGTAATCATATGTATGTACTACAAACATATACTCATTTTAAAATAAATGAATTAATTAAAAATGCAAACCCAGGCCAGGTATTTAGGTGGTGCTGCCACCTGCCTCTCAAGCACAAGATCCTGAGTTCAATCCCCAGTACCAAAAAGAAAAAAGAAAAAAATAAAAAAGCAAACCCAAGCAAGGCACTCTGGGAGGCTGAGACAGGAGTATCTCTAATTGGAGCTCCAACCTGGAAAATTTAACAACTTAGCAAGACCCTGTCTCAAAAAAACAAAGGAAAATCTAAAAGGGTCAGGTCTCTTCTCTACCCAGTAACCTGCAGCAAGGTGACCCATGCTGACACCCAGCAAAACCTGAAACTTTCTCCCTGGGGCTGATGAGGCAAAGGGAGCCCTGCACTGGTGGCCTGAGTACAGCTGGGAGAGTGCCAGGTGTGAACTGGGTGGGTGGAGTGGAAGCCCACACTGAGCAGGGACAGCCGACCTGGCCTTTCCCACGTTTCACCCAGACACTGGCAGGGAGTCTCCAGCCCCGGCTGAGTCATTAGAGGGCTCCTCACTAAGACACCAAGCCGTGAGCAGAACCTTCCAGGAGGGCAGCCCTGACCCATCCCCAGGCAGCGGTCACTGAGATGCCACCTGCTTACTTGTCCAGCTGGACAGCAAGAGTTGCCCACAGCTGAGGACAGCTGCTGGCCTGGACTACAGAGACCGAGACGGACAAGAGAGAAACAGAGCTCCAAGGAGAAAAAGACCCAGTAGGGAGCAAAAAAAACAAAACAAAACTCCTCAAACATGAATCAAAACGCTTATAGATAAAATTCTACACTCAGAAATCAAAACCAGATTTTCTGGGCCAGGGATTTAGCTTAGTGGTGCCACCACCGCCTCGCAAGCACAAGGTCCCAATTTGATCCCTGGTACAAAAAAACCCCCCAAAACCAGATTTTCTTTTTTAGTACTGGGGACTGAACCAAGCCTTGCATTAAGCTACATCCAAGCCTTTTAATTTTTTTTTTTTTAACTGCCATCACGCCCTGCTTTTGCTCATTTTTTCAGACAGGGTCTATCTATGTACAGTAGTTCAGGCTGGGATCAGTCTCTCATGATCCTCCTGCCTCAGGCACCCAGACTGCTAGGATTACAAGCGTGCACCACCACACCTGGCGAGTTTCATTTTATTTTATTTATTATTTTTGGTCCTGGGGATCAAACTTGGGACCTTGAGCTTGCAAGGCAGGTGGTGGTACCACTGATCCTAATGCCTGGCCCAATTTATTTTTATTTTATTTGTTTATTATTTATTTATTTATTTATTTGGAGACAGGGCCTCACTACACATGTAGCCCAGGCTGGCTTCGAACTATGGTAATCCTCACTCAGCCTCCTGAGTGCTGGGATCACAGGTGTGTACCATCTGTGAAACCCAGCTGACTTTCATTTTAAAACTACTAAAAGTCAAATAAAAAAAACTATCAATTGAGTTATATTAAAATTAAACATGCTGTTTATCAAAAGAAACCCTAAGGAGCTGGGCATGGAGGCACATGCTGTAATTGCAGCACTTGGGAGGTTGAGGCAGGAGGATTGCTGCAAATTTGAAGTCAGCCTGGGCTACATAGTGAGTTCAAGGCCAACCTAAAATACAAAGTGAGACCTTGTCTCAAAAAAAAAAAAAAGAAACCCTAAAGCCGGGTGTGGTGGCACATGCCTTTAATCCCAGCACTCGGGAGGCTGAGGCAGGAGGATCGCTGTGAGTTCGAGACCAGCCTGGGCTACATAGTGAGTTCCAGGTCAGTCTCAACTACACAGTGAGACCCTGTCTAAAAAAAAAGAAAGAAAAGAAACCCTAAGGAGAATGAAAAGCTGAAGCACAGAGTGGGAAAAGACATCACAGTATATTTATCTGACAAATCTTCATATCTACAATATATAAAGAAAAAGCAAATAGTTCAACATAAAAACTGTCAAAAAAAAGAAACTTGAACATTGGGCTGGTGATGGACCAGGGATGATAAAAATATATGTTTTGGGGTTTTTTTGGTACCAGGAATCGAACTCAGGACCTTGCACTTGTGAGATAGGCAGCGGAACCACTGAGCTAAATTCCCTCAAAATATATGTTTAATGTTTAAATGTTTAAAAAAAGTATAGTAGGGCCAGGGATTTAGCTCAGTGGTTCCGCTGTCTATCTCACAAGCACAAAGGACCCGAGTTCAATCCCCGGTACCAAAAAACAAAACAAAACAATTATAGTAAAAGACATATTGTCATCGATCTCCTCAAAATCTTCCCCTTCAGTTCAAGCCCACTTATTTCATCCCTCTTGCCACTGTCAGAAGCAGTTCTGGACGTCCAGTTTCAAAATGTAATAAAAAATGCAGTGAATGCTGCTGCCAAGTGTCATCGAACAGAACAATAGGCTGGTAAAGGCAGGACAATGTGCCCGCTTACACCCTGTCCCCCATTCCGGCACCGTGCAGCTGCTACTCTTCCCCAAGTTCAGTGACCACAAAAGTGCAATGTTTTTAATTAATTCAGGACCTTGAGGCAGTCACAGCAACACAGCCGATGACACTCAGGAAAGAGGACTTCCGGGACTGCATCAGAAAGTGATAGCCAGTGCAGTGGCACACAGCTGTAATCCCAGTGCACAGGAGACTGAGGCAGGAGGATCACCAAGAGTTTGAGGCCAGCCTGGGCTACATAGTGAGTTCAAGGCCAACCTAAACTACATAGTAAGACCCTGTCTTAGAAAGAGAGAGAGAGAGAGAGAGAGAGAGAGAGAGAGAGAGGGAGGGAGGAGGGAAGGAAGAAAGAAAGGTGGAAGGAAGATATCAGTGTTGAAGTGGGCGTGGTGGCGCACACCTGTAATCCCAGCACTCTGGGAGGCTGAGGCAGGAGGACAGTGAGTTCGAACCCAGCCTGGGCAATTTAGCAAGACCCCTGCTCAAAATGAAATACAAAAGGGCTGTGCATATAAGCTCAGCGGTGTGAGGTCCTGGGTTCAATCCAGAGTTCTGAAAGAGAGGGAAGAGGGAAGGAAGGAGGGAGGGTGGGAGTGGAGGAGGAAGGGAAGGGAGAAAGGAGACCCCTCCAGAAGGGCCAATACCCACTAAGTGGAGTTTCAGAAGGAATGAGCAGAAAAGTGGTGGCAGGTGGGAGAATGATTAAATAGATGCATGCAGAGCATTTACCTATAACTGGAGTGCCCAGGTCTCAGGTTTGAAAGGGCCAAGCGAGTGTACAGGCTAAAGAATAAAGAAAGATCAGGCTAGCCCATTTTACTGAGAAATGTTGGAACCTGAGGGGAAGAGAAGATTCTAGAAGTTTCTGGCACCTCTGCTGCACTGCCGAGAGAAAATAAAAGGGTCACAAAGAAGGATGGAAAAGAAAAGTGATACTGGACTTGTCAGAGTTCACCGTGGAGTTGAGAAGAAAATAGGAAGATGGCAGGAAAGTGTCTCCAACCTAGAATTAGACACGCAGCCAGCGGGGTTAGAATAAGGACCTTTGCCATGCTCGCTTTAGCAGCACATATACTAAAATTGGAACGATACAGAGAAGATTAGCATGGCCCCTGCGCAAGGATGACACGCAAATTCGTGAAGGGCTCCATATTAAAAAAGAAAGAAGCCGGGCATGCTGGTGCACGCCTGTAATCCCAGCACTTGGGAGGCTGAGGCAGGAGGATTGCTGTGAGTTCGAGGCCAGCCTGGGCTACATAGTGAGTTCCAGGTCAGTCTCAGCTACATAGTGAGACCCTGTCTCAAAAAAAACAAACAAAAAGAAAGAATAAGGACCTTCGCCAACATGCAGGGTTCACAATGTTTATGTCCCATGCACACTTAGAGGAAACACCTGAAGTATGTGTTCCACCAGAAGGACATCACAGGGAAACAGAGGCCTGGGGGTGTGGCTCAGTGGACAGCGCCTGCCTTGAATGAACGAGGCCCTGCTTCCATCCCCCACACCACAAAATTAATTAATAATTAATTAATTAATAATGAAAAAGAGAGAGCTGGGGATTTAGCTCAGCAGTTCCGCTGCCTGCCTAGCAAGCGCAAGATCCTGAGTTCCATCCCCAGCACCAGGAAAAAGAAATTAATTAATTTAAAAGAGAGAGCAAGAGAGAAGAAAAGAAAGAGGAACATATTGGAGCCAGGAAACAAGAAATCCAATGCAGGAAAATAGTGAAGGGATGTCCAAGGATGACAGTCACGCTGTGGGTCTAGATTGCAAGAAGTCCTAGGTTCCAAGAAGGAAAGACCCTGCCTGATGCCCTGGTGTGGTCACCACTGTGGAAGGGGCCCATGACGGACTCTGTGAGACATCTGCACATCTCAGTGTAGACCTCATAGCCACAAAGAACATCCAGACAGCTTTCTGCAAATTCTGTTCATAGGGACAGACGGGCACCTACTAGCAAAAAGTGAAATGGAACACTTTGGGCTGGGAATATCGCTCAATGTTTGGTGCATACCTGTAATCCCAGCTACAGAGGAGGCTGATGCAGGAGGATTGAAAGTTCCAGCGCAGCCTGGGTGAGATAATGAGATCTTGTCTCAAAAAACTTCAAAAACTTTAGGGCTGGATATGGTGGCACACGCCTGTAATACCTGCACTCAAAAGGCGAACACAGGAGGATCCTCTCGAGTTGGAGGCCAGGCTAGACTACACGGTAAGACCCTGTCTCCCTCCCCCACGTTTTTTGTTTTAGAAAAGGCTGTAGTTCAGTGTGAGGACCCGGAGTTCAATCCAAGCCCTAGCACCACACACATAAAAAAAGATATAAGGACATATAAGCATAACTATTCTGGGTTTCCCTAGAATGTTATTTATCTGTGCTACCGTTTATAGCTATAGTCATGCTTTCTTTTCTTTTTTCCTTTTTCTTTTTTTGGCACCCGGGATCGAACTCGGGTCCTTGCACTTGGGAGGCAGGCTCAGAGACACTGAGCTAAATCCCCTGCCCTTGTTTGTTTGTACCGAGGATCAAACTCAGACCTTGTGCTTGCACTGAGTTTAATCCAGGCTCTGTTTGTTTGTTTCTTGAGATAGGATCTCACTCTGTGATTCAGACTGGGCTTGAACTCATATAGATCCTCCTGCATCAGCCTCCTGAGTGCTGGGATTACAGAGGTGTGCCCAAATTCAGCTGTCATGTTTCAACCTAAGACTATACACATTGCTCAATTAGAAAGATACAAAGAAATGGATATGCTATGTGGGAGAGGGAGGGTGTAAAACAGCTATGTAATCATCTTTCCTACAAAGTCAATAACGTGCGAAATTGCAAAAGCAAGAAATAAGAAACCAGTGCAATAGTTGTAGTCTCAGTCACTTAGGAAGCTGAGGAAGGAGAATGAGTTGAGCTCAGGAGTTTGAGCCCAGCCTGTGTAACACAGTAAGACCTTGTCTCTGAAAAAAAGAAAGAAGGCAGAAAGAAAAAGGAAAGGAAGAAAAAAGAAACAGACAAAAGCATGTTATATAGAAATAAATATTAGTGTGAGGCCTGACATGGTGTCACATGCCTATAATCCCAGCACTAAAGAGGCTGAGGCTGGAGGATCTTAGGTGAGTTCAAAACCAGCCATGGCTACACAGCGAGACCTTGTTTTTTGTTTTGTTTTTAAAGGGAGGGCTGGGCGTGGTGGCACACACTTGTAATCCCAGCAATCAGGAGGCTGAGGCAGGAGGATCACTGTGAGTTCGAGACCAGCCCGAGCTACATAGTGAGTTCCAGGTCAGTTTCAACTACATAGGGAGACCCTGTCTCAAAACAAGCAAACAAAAAAGGGAGGTAAATACTAGAATAAAAATCTATAATCTGGGATATAGCTCGGAGGCACAGCGCCTGCCTGAGTTCGAATCCCAGTACCCTTCCAAAATTTCCAGTCTCTAGAGGTAAGGAGAACTGGGGCAGGGAAAATGCCACAGACAAAGGCCCTCCCCAAAGCACAGCCATACAAAAAATGTCCAGGCAGCCTTCGGGGGTCTTGTTGTTGTAGACAGAGACAGTTACTAGAAACAAACGGAAATGTGACAGCCTGGGCTAGGAACGTAGCTCTTGTTTTAAACTTGCCAGGACAATATAGCAGTCCACACTATATAATCACAGCACTCTGAGAGGCTGAGGCAGGAAGATCAAAGTTTGAGCCCAACCTGGGTAATTTAGTGACTATTGAGACCCTGCCTCGAAATAAAAGAGGTCCAGGGATGTAGCTCAGTGCAAAGGCCCTGGAAAAAAAATGCCAGGAAAAAAATATGGACCTTCTAGGGCTATGGATGCAGCTCAGTGGTAGAGCATTAGTCTAATGGTCATGGGGCCCAGAATTCCCTCCCTAGCACTGAAAAAAATAATCCTTCAATTTCGAACTTCTAGACATGGAATTCATGGCAGATTTGTGATCAAACTCAGGACCTTGCACTTGTGCAGCAGGCAGTGGCAGCACTGACTGAGCTAAATCTCTGGCTAGACACGGAATTCATGGCAAGTTACATGTGGGAGAAGGAAACTTAATCTGTAAACTGGGTGTGGTAGTGCACACCTGTAATCCCAGCACTCTTGAGTTTGAGGCCAGCCTGGACTACATAGTGAGACCCTGACTCAAAAAAACATAGAAAAATAGGGCCCCCCAAAATGAGCAGAGAATCAGTGAGCTGCAAGTCCAATGGTCATGTAACTAAAGTCCCCAAAAGATAGGGAGACAGAAAAATATGTGCAAAAGTCACAGCCCAACATTTTCCCAACCTTTTAATGAAATCTATAAACATATAGGTTAGAGAAGCTCAACGAACCCCACACATAAGAAACCATAGCAAACCAAAGACACATGGTAAGGAAATTGTTTGAAACTAAGGCCAGGCATGGTGGTTCATGTCTTTAATACAAACACATGAGAGGCTGAGGCAGGAAGATTGCAAACTTGAGTCCAACCTGGGCAACTCACAATTTAGTGAGACTACATTTCGTGCATACTCTAACTCCTAAAGCAACCAGTAGAATAGAATAAAAAATAAAACTGCTGGGCATGGTGGCTCATGCCTATAATCCCAGCCCTTGGGAGGCTGAGGCAGGAGGAGGATTGAGGAGAGGCCAGCCTGGGCTACACAGTGAGTTCAACGCTAGCCTGAACTACAATGTGAGACCCTGTCTCAAAAAAGAAAAAAGAAAGAAAGCTAATAAGTCAAACCAAAGGAGATAACATGATGGAATAAAAAATTATTTAATACAAGAGAAAGTTGGGAAAAAAAGAACAAGAAAGACCCCAGGAAGAGCAGGGGCACAGGATGTGGACGAGTAGAGAGGTGCGGGAGGAAGGCAGCGGCCAGGACAGAGAAGGGCTCAGGGCCAGGGCAGACAGGACAGGGCCTGTGGCCATGGAAGGGGACCCCAGCAGCCACAAGAGCCCTTTAAACAAGGTAATAGGCCAAGAGGGACTTTTGCAAACATTCATTCCAAGATTGGGCAGCCATGAGAGGAGGTCTAGGAGGAGAAGCCGCAGCGACTGCTTGAGAGGTGCCCACGGGTGGAGCAGGGGAAGAACGGGAGACTCAAGGTTTGATTCCAGGCAGCATTAGGCGGGCCAGCTGGGGAAGGACCCAGAATGCCTTAAATACAGGGTTTCGGCAAGGAATGCAGGAAAGGTAGAAGGGGCCCCTGGGCAGGGTGGGTCGGAGGTTATAAATTGGGAGCTGTAAAGAGCATGGGGTGATGTTTGAATCCGTGAGACTCATACATTCTGGAAGAAAGAAGGAGCCCCAGCACGGAGGCCATGGACAGGAGCATTGACAGCCAAGATGCTGGGGAGAAACCGGGAGAGACAGACACGGAAGTGAGTGGACCACAGATGCTGGGAGAGGAAGAAAATTCTCCTCACAAGGAGGTCGGTCACTTGTGTCTGTGTCTCGAGTGGCCGAGAAGATGGGGCTGAGGAGGGACACAGGCTAGATGTCCCCCTGTGGACGGGGCGGATGGCCGCCCGCACCACAGCAGGTGCCCTTCTATATGGACAAGGACAGATGTCACCGGGGCAGGTTTGGCCAAGGGATTAGAGGGGGTTGAGGGTCAGCCACAGAAAGCCCGGGACAAGGGGCAGAGTGCCCCAGCAAGGGCTCTGCAGATAGAGGGCATGCAGAAGTCAGTTTATGGGCTTCAAGGGCACCAAGAGACGGCACAGGAGGTGGCCAGAGCCCATCCTCACAGCCACCCCTTCACAGAGTGTTCTGGAGCCGCTCCCGCCAGGGTTCAGACTCTAGAGCCCAGACTGACGACTGCCAGGCCTCCCTGTCTCAAGGCCCTGGCCCCCAGGTCCCCTGAGCTCGGCCCACCTTGGGATCCAAGTCGAAGAAGCTGTAGTACTTGAAGCGCAGCCAGAGTGTGTCCCCGGCCTTGACGCCCTGCTGCATGAGGCACCGAGACGAGTCCAGCCACCTGGGGGTGGTGGAAGCAGAGTCAGGGCCGTACCAGGTGGACCCAGCGGGCACAGGGGAGGTGGCGGCACCCACCTGCTGTGCGGCTGCGTCTTGTCGGCCAGGGAGCCAGGCCGAGGCAGGCGCTGCAGCAGCC